GACGGCCACCTGGTCGTCGCGCGCGTAGTGCGTGAGCACCACGGACCGGTTGACCCGCGAGTAGTAGCAGGGGAAGACGGCGCCCTCGTAGCCGAACTGCTCCGAGAAGTTGCCGCACTGCACGTCCGGCGGGTAGCCGCACCCTTTGATGTTGACGAGCAGCACGGCCTCGTCCGTCGCGTTGCTCTCCTCGGTTGGTGGCGGAGGCGGCGGTGTCGTCGACGGCGCCGGCGTACTCGTCGTCAGCGGCCGCACCCACCGCCGAGAGCGCGCTGGTGTCGGGGAGGACGGCGCCGTCGTGGCCGTTGACGGAGACATCGTCGTGGTTGTGGACGGGGATAACGTCGGCGGCGACTTTGACGGCAAACCGGACGCGGTTGTCGTTAACCGTGGAGGTGGTGGAACTGTATTCGTTGTTGTCTTTGTCGACGGAGGAATGGACGTCCACGCCGATGTGGCCGTTGCTGCCGTTGCAGAAGTGGGCGTCGGCGGTGACGACGGCCACATCGTGGTGTTGGGCGCCTCCCACGGCACCGTCGTGTAAGACACGTAGATGTGCGTGCACTTGTACATGTCGGAGGTGCACCCCTCGCGGCACGAACTCCACGTGCAGTTGAAGATGCCGCTCAGGTCCTCGCGGCGCGTCGTCACGCACGTCACGGGCACGTCCACGAAGTGGTGCGTGAGCGTTGAGATGGCCGGGTCCACGTACAGCGGCACCAGAAACAGAAGCGACGAGCCGGCCGACATGGCGGTGAGGGCGAGCACGGCCGTGGCGTAGAACCAGACGCGCTGGCGCCACGTGCGCTGCACCTTGGGCGGCCGCTTGGGCTTGGCCAGCTCCAGCAGCTTCTTCTTGCGCAGCTCGGCCTGCTGGTCGAGGAGCAGCTCCGAGCTGCTGCTGCGCATCACGGCGCTCAGCGCGCCCTGCGACGAGGAGGCCAGCGTGGGCCTCGGCCTCGGCCACGGCGGGGCCGACCGGACTCATTGGGGGGCACACATCGCACGGGGGGCGGCCCCGGCCCCGGCCCCAGCCCCGGCCCGGCACGGCCACTACGACGGCGACGCGGCCGACGTCGGGCGTCGACCGTTGCGGTTGGGGTCCCCGGCACGTTCACGACGACAACGTGCCGCCGCCCCCCGGGGGTGGCGCCATGGCCCCGGCACGGTGCGCGCCACGCCCGGCCACGCCGCACCACGCCTCGCTGAGCACGTCGTCCTCGCACCCGCGCCCTCGTCCTCGCGTCCCGGGCGCAGCAGCCAGACAAGCCCAGTCCAGCCCCTCGCGGCACGTCGAGCCCGACTGACTGGTGCGGGAGGGGCGGCGGTCGGGGTGGCGGCGCTGGTGGTGGTGCTGCCAGACTGCCCCCCGCCGCGCCCCACCACGCCCCACCACGCCCCCACCCAGGACCCACCCAGCAGCGCGCGCAGGCCTGGAGCCCCCCCGGCAAGCAGGCCCCACCAGGGGGCCACCAGCACGGCCCACCAAGCGGCGGTCGCACCATACCATGCCCACCGGCCCGGCCGCGCCCCGCCACGCCCCACCACGACCCACCAGCGGGACAGCCCCACCCAGCCGTACCCGTCGCCAGGCAACCTTGAGCAGGGCAGGCAGCCGGGGGGCAGCCGGGGGACTTGTCCGGGGCGCACTCCTCGGCAACCCCTCGCGCCCCACGCCCGCACCGCGGCCCGCACGCACATGTGCAGGACGGCGTGGCGGCGTGGCACGCCCGGCGGTCCGAGCGGCGGGCCCACCCGGGACACATTCACACGTACCCGCGCGCGTGTACCGGTGTGTACCCACGGCCCACAGCACACCGTGCGCACACCCTGCATGCCTTCAGACTCCCTTCATAATACAGGAGAGGTTCGTGTGTGTGTGGACGCCGGTACATTTAACAAGACACGACGCCACGCACGATGCTGCTTTCCCTCAACCACCGAAGTCGACCCGAGTTTTGTTTCTCCAGCTTATTGGCTGCAGGTCTCTCCTCTCGGGATGAGCGGTGTGTGCAGCCGGCGGGCGCTAGCCAGGCCGCCCCGCTGCGCACGATGTAGGGTAGTAAATTTCCAAAAGTTTCCGGAAAGTTTCCGAAAAATCCCCGAAAATTTCCGGAATACAGCGGAAAACTTCCAAAGTCTGGAAAATTTTCAATTTT